CTCTCTCTCTCTCTCTCTCTCTCTCTCTCTCTCTCTCTCTCTCTCTCTCTCTCTCTCTCTCTCTCGCTGCCCTCCCCCCTCCACAAAAGAAAATGTGTGTATGCACCGCACACACACCCGACTCCATCCTCTTTTCTTCCATGCAGTAGACATCTGTCGACAGGGGGAAGGTTCTGGATGGCAGCGATTTCTGGCTCACTTGTTATTGATGGCATGCGTGTTCCGTGAACAGACACGCACACACAGACATGCTGAAGTCTTTTTTTTGGTGGACTTGTGTATAGCGAATATGACAACACACATTCATGTCCTTTCATCAACACATTACAATCGTTGAAACATTGCAATCAGACTTGATTAAGAGTGTAAGGCAAGACAGTTTCAAAAATGTTGGATCTACTCATCTTGGTGGAAAAGGAGTTGTTGTGCCGACAGTCTAAACACACACACTTATTGTTAGGATGTGACTGGACACGCACATTTCTGTTGTGGTCCTTGTGTTCCTTCTTTGTCTGTGGCTTTTGATGGCATGAAATGATTTGACGGAGGCAGTTGGAATGATAACAGGAAAACAGCACAACGGTGGCGAACCGCTTACAGGCGGGAGGAGTGAGAAGACGATCTTTGTGAAGAAGCGGAAGAGATCTCAAAGGAAAATGGCGCACATAAACGCTACGTGGGGTCAGTCTTCCTTCGAGGTTCGAAGTCGCTCGATCGGCGAATCGAAGGATGGGAGAGGTGAAAAGCAAGACAATGCCAACAGGACGACATCAAACGGCAGCTCGCAGGAAGCATCGGCGGGCGGTGGCAAAGGGCAGGTGTGTGGATGGCGCCGCCGTCATCGCCGACCTCGTCGGCTGCACCTGAAAGTGGAAACGCGGTCATCAGGACCGCCAACGGTTGGTTTAGCACACGGTGCAGGTCTTCCCGGATGCTGGAAAGACGGAGGAAACACTCAAGTATGCTGGACACAGGCCGGCGATATCCTTCCTCCATCCCAGGGGTGGTGTGACGACTGGTTTCTTAATCCAGCTACCGTATGGCGGCAGCAAACGGCAAGGGCCGAGACGTGGGGGCGGTGTCTGATGCCTGCTGCAGGGCTTCTAGGATCATGGAAACATGCCCTAGAGACTCATCCTATGCCATCGCAGGGATGGATAGGTGATCGATCTCTCGCAAGTGGAGTTAGCATCCCTCAGAAACTGTTTGCAAAACCTGCAACTGCAGGTCTGGGGAAATGGATTGCAGGGCATCGCTTGTCCATCCCTCGCCGAGATTCGCCACTGCAAGAACTGGTTCCTTTCACACAGGTGCACGGTGCAGCCGAGGAGCCGCAAGGGCATCCCAGCTGTCATCCGCGTAATTGGAGCTTGTTACAGAGCGGAAGCCTCCCTAGACAAAGTTTAGGGGTGCAGTTGTCCATGTCGGAGAGAGTGAATGCCACGTCAGATAAGAAAACGTCATCTCCAGCAGAAAAACCGACCGGAGACGGGAGTTGCAGCATATGGAGGCCTACTGCGCAGCGACCGGCTCCGCAAGGGTTACGGCTTGATGGCCTGCTTGTGCCTGCACCACCATGTCAGGGTAACGAAGCAGACATCCAGCAGCTCTGTGGGGCGGTGCGATCTGCGGGTGGATCTGTGAGTCCGTCCACAAATCGATGCAAAGATCATCTGTTGCTGGGCAAAGGCACAGCGATGGATGTCGAGCAGGCGATTCTTCTGCCACCGCGTACGTCGGCCTTCAGGACCGTTGCTCGCAAACGGCGTCATTCCGAAGTCCAGCAGAATAGCATATGCCGGCCCATTGCACGGCGGCCAGTGGTGAAGTGCCCTGCACAGAATTTGTCGTCATTCAATGACGAACTGCCATTGTCGAAGGATGAACACGATGTTCGAGCCCATTCTGCAAAACGGCTGGTGCTCGACGGAAGTGCAGACTCCGGGCGCAAGGGCGAGGCCCACCCTTGTCGCGAGTCGCACCTTGAGATGCAGCAACAGCAGGCGCCGCTTGGGCTTGAGCATCAGGAGCATCAGGACCATTCTGATGGGATGAGTCCATTGCAGGGTGGCAGCAATTGCCGGAGAGGTGTTTGGCAAATGAACCCCTGGTCGGTAGGGCGAGTGGAATTTACTGTGACGCCACCCTGGGAGCAGAGGCCTGCCAGTTCTCAGACTGTCGTTGGGGACCCATTGCTGCAGGACGAAGGTGCAGTTTCTCTGCGTGATGCGCTGGCATCACACAAAGTTGCAATCGCGTCTCACAATGATGGTCGTGCGTCTGACGTGCAGGATAACAAGATTGATGCGAACAGCGCTCCGAGCAGTGGCATGAGCCTGCAGAGATGTAGTCCTTCGCCGAGTCCATGTCGACCTGTCCCAGTTGATCTGGCAGGACAAGCTGAGGCAACCGCTTGTGAAGGGCTGTCGATTGCCGAGGATGAACAGAGAGACGTGCACCGTAGCAATTCTTATGTTTGCTGTTCTGCATCTGGGACTGATGCCTACTGGAACAGAGTTAAGGATCACAGGAAAGACCGGGCAGCCACGTGGAGCAGCGGTATGAGCGACTGTGGGCAGGTGATAGGACGAGGGGTCAGCAGTAAAGACGACGAGGTGGTAGCGTGCGGGACGCAGGAGGAGAAAGCGGTTGCAGAGAGATGGAGGGCACAGAAAGGGGCGGTACTGGATGGGGGAGTAGGAGTGTGCAATAATGGAGAGAGCGAACGTGTAGCACGAGGAGAGAGTGCAAAGGAAGGAGGTAGAAGACAGGAGTTAGGAGAAGGGAGATGTATCATAGAGGGAGAGGAAGGAGCAAGCAGAGAGAGTGTGCGGGATGCAGGAGGAGGTAGCGATTGCAGAGGGATGGAGGAGGATACAGAAAGGCGCGATACTGGTCCGACTAGCATCGAAGAGGTCAGTGGAGCAAGTGAAAGGGTAGCACGAGGAGAGAGTAACAATGGAGATAAGAAAGATGATCTGCGGAGAGGGAGCAGTTGGGGAGAGGGAGAGCAGGGAGCAAACAGAGAAAGCACACATGAAGCAGGAGGAGGGAGCGATTGCAGAGAGATGGAGGAGGAAGCAGGAAGGGGGTTGGAAGAGAGAGAGAAGGGAGCAAACAGAGAGAGCGCTCATGAAGCAGGAGTAGGGATGGATTGCAGGGAAACGGAGGAGGAAACAGGAGGGAGTTTGGAGGAGAGAGAACGGGGATCAAGCAGAGATAGCACACATGGAGCAGGAGGAGGGAGCGATTGCAGAGAGATGGAGGAGGAAGCAGGAAGGGCTTTGGAAGAGAGAGAGAAGGGAGCAAACAGAGAGAGCGCTCATGAAGCAGGAGTAGGGATCGATTGCAGGGAGACGGAGGAGGAAACAGGAAGGAGTTTGGAGGAGAGAGAGCGAGGATCAAACAGAGATAGCATACATGGAGCAGGAGGGAGTGATTGCGGAGAGATGGAGGAGGAAGCAGGAAGGGGGTTGGAAGAGAGAGAGCAGGGATGTAGTAAAGATAGTGCACATGAAGCGGGAGGAGGGAGCGATTGCAGAGAGATGGAGGAGGAAACGGGAAGGGGCGATACGGGAGGGAACTGGTCCGAAGGGATAAGTACAGGAGGGAGGAAAATCGGTTGGAACGACGGTGGAGACAGGGAGCAGAGACCGAGCACAGGTATCACAGAGGACCCGGGAGAAGGGACCAACAGCGGCAGAGAGATGGGGGAGGAAGTAGAAAGGACTGCTGAAGGGCACAGTACAGGAGAGCACGATCGGTTAGCGAAGAGCGATGGCGAGCAGGACGGAGGAGGAGGGAGCAGCGTCACGGAGATGGGGCAAGGCGCAGCAGGGAGCGATAACGGAGAGAGGCAACAGGCAGAACCAGATAATGGGCAGGATAGGGGAGAGAGGAGCCATAGCGAAGAGCAGGAAGGCAACACAGACAGCTGCAGACGGGAAGCGGATGGAGGGAGAGATAGTGGGGAGGTGGTAGAGGGATCAGGAAGGAGTGCTACGGTCGACAGACAGCAGGCGCCAGGGGAGAGTTCTCACAGAGAAAGAGAGCAGGGGGGAGAAAGACTGAAGGAATTGATGGTAGGAGGAGCGGGTAATAGTCAGTCGGTCGTGGCAAGGGTAGAGTCTGATGGGAGGTGGAAGCCTACATCCGCCGTGTCCAATAAGGTTGTTGCTGCAAAAGGCGAAAATGCCGCTGAGGCAGCAGAGAGGGATTCTCTCAATTCTGTGGAAGCCATACTTTTGGTAAGAGTAAACCAAAATATTATGATGATTTAAAATACAAATCCAAGGCGTCAACAACAAAATCACTACCTAACAAATGTGTTTTTTTTTTGGGGGGGGTCTTGCAGTTGACAAGGAGTTTAGCAGAAAACAAAAGCCTTCTCCTCTCTTCTGTGAAGCTTTGTTTTCTGTTAAACTCTGGTTTCTTCTGAACTTTGTAACTTTTTGTATTCACAGCAACTTCGACTCTTCTCTTCTGTGTTAAACTCTGAGCCCAATGGTAAATCATTGTTTAGCCACCGTTAAACCGCCGGTTAAACACCGTTAAACCGCCGGTTAACCCTGCTAAACCACCATTTAACCACCACTTTTTAACCACTGGTTAACTGCCGTTTAACTGCCATTCAATCACAGTTTAACTGTTGTCAACTTCACTTAGAAAGATTATGCATGTGTTTATATTTTGGGGAGTGTTTTTTCTTTGGGGGGGTTGGGTTGGTG